CCCTTGGTCCCTTCGCAAATACGACCTCCACCCTGGGCTGCGGGAGGCGGTGTGCGCAAAGCCGGCTCTCCCTGAAAAGCCGCCCTGTCCGCACCTGCCTCCATCGGCAAGACCTCAAAATCCCAGGGTGCGCGTCGAGCGAGCGCTCAGCACCCTGCGCCGCCGGCAGGTGGGCAGCAAACGCTTGTTGAAGGGGTTCATCGGCAGTTGTCCGGGCCACCCAGGCCGGCCCCTGCCCGCGGGGCGGAGGAGGACCTCTGCCCCGGTCGCGGCGAGGTCACGCAGGTCGCGCTCCCAGACCCGTGGACGCCGCTCCCTCCCAGCCCCGCCTGGCTCTGGTTTTCCGCCAGGCTGGACCAAGACCAACTCAAGTTAGGTCTTCCTTCCTCTTCTCAGTCCCAACTTTCCGTATTCCCTGGACACTGGGGACCACTCGATGCAGACCTTCGCCCCTCCCCCGCCCCACCTGCCTGTTCCTGTCCTGGTTAAATCGTCAATTCCGCGCCCTGAGCGCCCTGGGACTGCGGCTTCCCAGGAGGGCTCCCCTCCACCCTCACTGCCCTCTCTGATCTGAGGCAGTGGAACGCAGGAGGCCGGAGCCCGCTCGCCCGGCGGGCGCCCTTGGCCATCTGCCGCCCCAAGCGTGGCGTTGCCGCGGTCACCCGGGTTTCTCCAAATTGCTTTCTGGGTGGTGCGCAGCTCTGGCCCGAGACTGGGGCTGGATCCTCGCGCTTAGAGAATCCGAATCCCCAACCTGCGAGGCCCTAATGTACTAGCGGGGACAGCCAGTCTGACCTTTAAAAGTTGGCTCTCGCCTAAAAATATTTCTGTGATGCGGGGAAGGAGGTTTGCAGTTTTGGGGGCTGCTGTTTGAATTTCTGGATGGGAATCTGCTAGAATCTCAGTATCTCTCTTTGTGTATGTGTATATATATCTATTTTTTCATTTTTACCCCCGGCATCACGAGAAAAGGCAAGAATGGAAAGAACAGCGAATCGCTGCTCCAGAGTTTGAGAAAACTTTCGGTCCGGGAAATGAGTCCATTCCACCAGGTAAGAAACGGCCTGTAAGAGGGTGGTAACATCGGGGCCGCGAATTCTGACACGAACGGAACTGGGAAATTTACCCCATGCACCCCGCAGGAGCCCCAGGAAGGGAAGAAAGGATAGTGGGACGTCCCAGAGAAGTCCTTCACCCAGATTCTACCAAATACAAAATCAAATACCCATTTCCCACAGCGTCGGGGTTCGCAAGAGCTGCAAGAAGTAGATATTTTAGGGGACAAGGAAGGAACAGGAGACGCCTTAAGCCTGCTCCCCATTTACCACCCCCAGCCTGGACCGAGCGAGCGGGTGGCTCCTTCCTCCTGCTCGAGTCAGCCCGCTCTCCAGCCAGCAATTCGGGGAGCCGCCGCTGTCGGTCGTCCTTTCCCTCGGTGCCCCGGGAGACTACGTAGGAGATGGGCCAAAACCGAGGGCAAGGGGCAGCTAAAACGCCCACCTCCCGGTATGTCCCGCACGGTTCAGAGTCGTCTTGGCCCGCAAGAGGGCCAGCAGGACCCAGATGCGGGAACGGGGGTGGGGAGGAGATTGTTGAATTCCGGGAGGAAAGAACTTCGGGGCGGGCTTGGGAGGCGCTCACCGCACCAGCGCTGCCCGGGGTCCGGCGCTGTGCGGACTCGGACCTTGGCGTTCCTGCAGCCCCGAGGGAGGCGGAGAAGTCGACCCGGGCGGAGGCAGACGGTGCCCAAAACGGGAAAGATCCGCGACCCTAAATCATGGGCCGAGTAGCCGGCACCCACTAGCTTAGGACGAGGTCTCCTTCTGAACCTATCCACTCGGCCGGAAAAAACCACCGAACTCTTTCAAGGGGGTCCGAGGCCCGTGCTGGACACGACCCCGAGGGTGCCACCTCCTGCCACTCAGGGCAAGAAGCCAGAGTTTTGTATTCCTTAGAAAACATTAACCCGAGGCGGGAGCGGAGCTGCCCGGCTGCCCTGTCGGGTCCGAGAGCAAGGGGGTGGTGCTCTCCTCTCTACGCCGAGATGCTCTCAGGATCGCTCCCAGCCTCCTCCCGCCCGATTCTTCCCGAGCTTCTTGCCCAGACCGACGCCCCTCAAACCGATGCAGACCCCCAAGCTTGTCCCGGGAAGTCCGAGCAGGGCGCGGGCCCGATCGGGCCGCCCCGGGGCTGTTGGAACCACGAGGATCGGCCCGGCCCCCAACCTTTGCGGGGTGAAGCAGGAGGAGGGCGACCGCGCTGACCACGAGTCTGCCCGGGAGCGAGCAGTGGGGGCGGCGGGGGCCAGAGTGTAAGGGAGAAGGCCGGCAAGAGAGAGAAATTATTACATTACTTGCCGGTTTCCTGGAGGGAATGCGCCTCACCCATCCCCAAATAAGCAAAAGAATATTCTGACTGCCGAGGAAACAAACTGGATTCAAACTCCTTCTAAAATGCCCCTAGAGGCCATGGCACCAGAGGCACCGAGGTTAGGGGATCCCTAGATCTGCGCCCCAAGTGCTCCATTTGTGGTGGCTCATAGTGAAGAAGCCCAACATGTGTGTGTGTGTGGAGGAGCGGGGGGGGCAACTCAAACCTTCCAGTTGGCAGGTTGGTGGGACCCCGGTGGGAGAGAATTTTTGTTGGCCCCCTGCCCAGGTTTAAACACAGGCAGACCTGAAAGTACCCTTCTTCCTCCCAGAGGCCCAAGGGTTGTCCCCCATCCCCACCCCCACATGGAGTTCTTAGGCCACTGGGCCCCACGTCCCAGAAAATGAATGGCTGTATGTGTATGTGAGGGAAGCACACCCCACCTCTACTTGGTTCCCAGCACCAACACCCTAACAGCCAGAGGCCACATCCGCTGCAAGGGGGTGAGTGCAACCCACACACATCCCCAAAGGAAAACAAATGGGGATCCCCAAGTCTTGAGGCATTGGGTCCCTCAGTTTGGGCTGGTGCCTCCTCCACTCGAGGCCACAGAACCAGGGCAAGACAAAAGGAAGGACAGACCACTTGCTCCTGGTTCGGCCTCGCCTCCCTGGGCCGACGGGACGAGAGTCCCCTTCTCTACCTCATTAAGTTTTCCACAGGAGAAACCCAGACTGGGAGCCCTGGCGCAATGTAGCTCTGAAGGCGAGTTCTAGGCATTTTAGGAAATCGCGTTCCCGACGTCGAAATCAAAGTTGTCTCTGAGTAAGAGAAGCAAAAAGTGACAATCTGAGAGAGTGTGTCTGCATCCCAAGAAAGGCCGTCGGAGCAGAGCACAGCATCCTTGGTTGCAGTCCTAACAGGCCACCTACGGACCACAACTGTAAACGCAGAGACGCACGGCGTAACAAGGACTGGAGTCACACACGCCTTGCGCCCACTCACACACCCCTCTCACTCGAGCAGAGCCACAGTCAGCTTAAGGACTTGGAGCCCCTTTGCCAGAGTCTGTGTTTTGGTTCTTGCAGGGGCTGAGAGTCCGCTCCCTCCCTGCCTGTGTGGGGGGGGGGGGGGGGGGGCGTAAGGGGGCAGTGAACCCCCAACGTCCTCTACGAACACATCTTAGTCAGCAGTAAACTCCCCAAGGCATGGCGCAGCCGTGGAACTGTTTGCTAACAGTTGACAGAAAAAGACACAAAAGATAACTGCAGGAGAGAATCAAGAAACAACCTAAATAGGTTTGGGTGAAGCTGTCCTCTTCTAGTCCCTTCTCAAAAACTTCCCAGGGAAGCCTGGGACGCACGCTCGCCAGCCTGCCCTTTTGAGACACGGCCAGGGCAGAAACCCTGCCTTGGAGAGCCGGGGCGAAGGAGGGCGCGCTCGTGCGCCCTAGTTCGAAGGTAGGCACCTCCGTGGATGAGCCGATCCTTGCTTAAACCTCGAGGGTGTAGCGACCGCTCCACTAGAGAAGTCCCAGGCAGAAGCACGGCCCCTTGGCAAGCGGAGTGAAGGAACCCTTCGTCTCCCCACGGTGCCCAGGGGCGTTCCGCAGAGCCCGCGAGCCTGACGCGCAGGACACACGCGGCGCCCGCCACGCGCGCGCGACGCCCCCGGACCTGCTTGGCGCAGATTCTCCATCCGAGAGACTGTTCCGGAGTGAGAGACAGAGACAGATTCTCTCTGAAAAAACCCCTGCGCGCACACACCCACACAAACGCAGAGACCTGAGGATAAACACTCCCCGAGCTGCAGCCGCCTTGCTAATTTCGGACGCGGGAAAGAAAGCCGGCGGGCGGGCGACTGAAGCGCCCCGCATCCTTGTCTCTCCCCTTCCGAGTCCAAGCCATCCTGAGAACCTGCCCTCTCCTGCGCAACGGCTGTACCCCGAGTTCACAACTTCGTCCCGGCTCTTCTCCCTCCCCTGCATTCCTCGGCTAGCTGGAATATGGCGAGTGGACTTTCTCACTAGGAGCAGGCAGTCCCTGGCGGCGCAGGCGGCGGGCGCAGCGGGTAGCAGCAGCTGAAGACGCACCAGGCGCGCACGCCCTGCGCGCGGGGACAGAGCGTGTGGCCTGGGCTTCCGCGCCGCCAGCCCTGGGGGCGGGGGACGCGCTCTCCAACTTCCCGCCAGCTGGGGTGAAGTTGCATAGCGGTACTGGGAGCTTTGACCGTAGCCCCGAGGAGGAGGGGGAGAATGACTTGGGGGGACCACCCCAGCCCTCAGGCCTGGCCTGCAGCTCCTTCCCCTCGTGTCCCCAGACAGCACTCTCCCCAACGCTCCTAGAAAAGCCATGGGGCTGGGGATGCGGGGTGAGGTACCCCTGGCTCGCCTCGAGCATGATCCGCAAGGCTTTCACTTTCGGCCCCAAAAGCCAAGAGCCAGGGCCTTCAAACACACTCTGGCCGGTGCCCCTGCCCTCTGACTGCCTCTGCCCCCAGGCCGCCGGCCCCTCGCCCCACCCGGCCCCTTCGGTCTAGGCTCCGCACAGCAACTGGCTCGCCCCGCACTGGCCAAGGGTGCTGGCTGTCTTGTTATCAAATTAAATCAGCGAGAAAGGGGGGAGTCTTACGTTGCATCGGCACACCAAGCATCTCCGGGAGCCCCTTGACAGCCCCCTCCGCGGGGACAGATGCGCTCTGCATCATCTCGGAGCGAGAGCCAGCGAGTCGCAGTCTACGGAGATCTCTTGCTCTCTTGCTCAAGCTGGATTCAGAAATTTGAAAATAATAATAAAAAACCCAACCAGGCCGCCGAAGTCACGGTGGAAGCCGGACCCTCCGCCTCTCCGGGAGGATTCCACAGGCTGGCTGGCCCCCTCCCCCCGCCAGTCCTCAGTCTGTTTCAAATCCCTTTGATCTCGTTCTCCCGGGTTGGTGCACATCCCGGGTTGAGGAGACGCCGTTGCTGCAGCTCTGGCTTTTTTCCCCTCCTCCCTCCCCCGCCCGCTTCTCTCCCCCTCCCCCTCCACCCTTCGCGTGCCGGCCGCCGGGGAGGCCGCGGTCACCCAGGCATTTTGATTCATTCACACTGCAGGAGCAGCCGTGACGTCGCTTTCCGCAGGGAGGCCCGCCCTTCAGCCAATCCCCCGACCCGGCAGCGGGCGGCGGACCCCGGCCGGAGAGGGGGTCCTGGAGCCCCAGGGGAGCCGGCCGCGCAGGAGGGCGGGGCGGCACGGAGCGGGGCGGGGCCTCGCGCCCGTTCCCCGGCTGCCCGCGGTGCGGGCTCGCGCCCCGGTATAAATATTGCGGCTGGCTCGGCCGCGGCAGCGGGCGGTCCGGGACGGCGGCGCCCGGCGCCCGCAGGTTTCCGCGGTCGTCTGGGGGTTCTGGCTCCAGCCAGCGGCTCTCCTCCCCGCCCCTCCGTTGGGACCAACAGGCGAGGAAGGGCGGGGCAGACCCTCCCGAGGCCCGGGCCGCCCAGCGGTGTCTTTCCCTCGCGCGCTCTCGGTCCCGGGCTTCTCTCCGCCGGACCGAGCGCGCTCCGTAACCAGATGACTCCATCCTTATCCTCCTCCTCTTCTCCTCTGGCCAATTCCTTTCCCGCCGGCGCTTCCCAGCCCTTGCTGTCTCTCCCCCGCGTCTGGCTGAGGCTGGGCCAGGGACAGCCCGTACTCGGTCCGGAACGCGCGAGTCACGCAGCGGGCGGCGGCGGGCCGGGGAAGGCGGCCAGGGGCTGCGCGCGAAGGTGGCGGGGCGCGGGCCCCCTGTGCGCGCCCCCGCACGCCGCGGCCTGCAGCCCTGAGTCCGCTCTTCCCTCCTCCTCCGCCCCGTCCGGGCCTCGCGCGTTTCGCCGGCGGGGCCTCCCGGGCGGTTCTTCCCGCGTCCGCTCAACTCCGTCGTGCCCTCGATCCCCAGAGACCGCTCTGCCACGCCCGCTGCAACCGCGGGCACTTCGAACAGTTCCCGACCTCGTGCGTGGTGGACGGCAGCGCTCTCTCGGACACCCGGAGCTAACCAGCGAAGGGACGGGTGTTGCTTATTTTGTTTACAAGACACACACAAACAAATTCTCAACGCAAGTTCCTGGAGGAAATAACTCAGAAGGCCCACCGCCGGGACAGGTCTCCGCGGAGGTTCTCTGATGCTTCCACAGATGCTCTGACGCCGCCCGACTGCAGGAGCGGGAAACCCATCCCCCCTGCCACAGACCCCAGTGGCTCTCTGTCTCCTAGTCCTCGCGACACCCCCATCCTGAATTTCGTTCCAGAGACTAGACAGACGTGTCCTCCCAGCCTAGTGGGGTCCAGCTCGGATGGGAAGGGGGACTGTGTGCCCTCTCTGGCATTCCAGCGTTCCCTTGCTTTTTCCCCTGGCGTTGTCCCCAAATAGGGACCCCCAGGGTTGATGAAGGACGACCATGAGGGTGGGGGAGGATGGCGTGGCCCTCTGCGCTTAGAATTTGTCTTCAGTGAAGTCACAGTGACTTCTGTGTGTCCTGGTACTGGGTTGGCATCATCTCTTCCCCTGTTTACCTGCGAACTGACTCTAGCGCGCCAGAAAAAAGCAAAGAACCCGGTGATATTTTCTGTGTTTGACAAAATGTTTTCTACAAAGATATAGCTAGTAAACAAACACGACGAAATGCCAGCCTTGTTAGCAAAGACATGCAAAACAAAACATCTCAGTATATACCTCTTTGTTAAACGACCAACTCGGGGTAAAAATCGTAGCATTCAGTGCTGGTGAAGGTGCTTCGAAACTGGTACTCTCACAAATATTGCTGGTGTGCTTATCAACTCTAAAATCCGTTTGGAAAGCAATTTGGCAATATGTATCAAACCTATAAATTTTTCATACCCTTTAGCTCATGTAATTCCACTTTTGAGTGTCTATTCCATGGAAATAAAATTTGGAAAAAAGTTTCCTACGTGAGGATGCTTATTACAGCATCTTCTTTGTTGTCATGTTTTGGAGAAAAATAACCTACATATGCAACAAAAGTGGTTTAGTGAAGTATATTAAATTTGCTTGGTCATATGTTATACAATTATGGAAACTAATTATGAAACCTAGCAATATGGGAATGCTTGTGAAATAACACATTTTTAAAAAGCAGGATGCAATATTGTATGATTGTAAGTATGTAAAAATGTTAGTCAAAGATAAAAGCAGTGATAACACCCATTGTTGACTAGGGTGTGAGGAAATTAGAAAAAAGTTTTCTGGTGGGGATACAAAGAGGAACAGTGTCTTCTAAGGGCATCTTGGCAATATGTTTTATAGCCTAAGAATGTGATGGATTTGACCCAATCCATATAGAAATTTATCCACAGAAAATAATCAAGATTATTTATAAAGATATAATTGCAAGGATGTTTATAACATTTAAAAAAGAGAATAACCTATATATCCAACAATGGGGGATTATTAAATAAGTTAGAGTAAATAAAATGAAATGTTATATAGTCATTAGAAAATACAACAGAAGGACGTTTAATAATGTAGAAAAGTGTTTGAGATGTATTACGAAGTAGAAAAAAAGAGAATATGAAACAGTATGAACTTTAGAACAATTACCTAAAAAAGTAACATAGAAAAAATGTGATAAAATATAAAAGTGGTTATCTGTACAGTGAGTATTTTTATTTTCTTCTTTTTGCTTTTTTCACTTTCCTCAGTGAGCACATTCATTTATAAAGCAGAAAAAACAAATAAAAATTGTTTTAAAAAACATTGGGAAAAAATTGGAAGGAAATATATCAAAATGCTATTCAAAAGTATACCAGGGAGATGTATTATGGAAGTTTTTCTTTTTTCTCCTTTCCAGATTTTCTATAAAGTGGTTATAGTTTTTCAGTAATATTATTAAAAGATAAATATTTGTATGCAGTGAAATGGAGAGCATATGTGGGAATTATTTTTATAATTTAAAATTCTATTTTTAAGATCCCCTCTGCAGCTCCTGCTCCCCAGGGATGAGCCTGCCCAGGTCCTGCCCTCTTCTTGCTGCATGTCACTAGCCTGTCTCTGGGTGAGGGGCAGCATTACTGTGGTTGGGGCTCTTTTGCGCCCAGGGCCAATTCAGGCAATGCCACTTTCACCTGGAGCCAATGGCAGAAGAGCCCAGGGAAGTCCACTTGGCTCTCAGTTCTTACACTTGCGGGCAGCAGCTGCCCTGCACCCCTGCGTGTTCCCACAGGTACACACCATGCAGCTCAGCTAATAAATGCCCATTCCGCATTCCAAGACTTTTCCAGAGGCATTTGCCTTCTTGTATGAGCTGGGTCCCATTCCCAAGCTCTCCCACTAACATCTACATCTGCCAAGGCATTTCATCTCCCTTCTGGGGCCTCGGCTTTCCCATCTAATGAAACCCCAATAAAAAGTTTTCCTTAAATAGATTTTTTTAGTGCCTATTGCTGCTGATAGTAACAATATAATAGCATATGGTGGTAATAATAAAAACCAACATTTATTGGAAGTTTAAAACTGTGCCAGGCACCAAGCAAGGTAAGTGCTTCTACCTGCATCATTCCATCTATTCCTCACAACTCAGTGTTATTATTATACTACTTGGATGAAAAAACCGAGGCTAACAGAGGCTAAGCTAGGCTCTACCTCCCAGAGAATGGGGGAGTAGCTGAATCCCACAGGAAGACCATTAGTTAGATCTATTTGGACTTAAACTTCTGAGCTGACTTAGCAAGGCTTTTCTCCCTGAAAGATGCCCAGGGCTGGCAGGTGACCTCTCAGGAGCAATGGTCCTCAGAGCTGACTTCAGACCTGTGCCTTTCAGCTACAACTCAGTTGGAGGGTGGGCACCAGAGGATGGGCCAGCGGTGATGTGGCTTTCCCCAGGTCTAAGTTCTGTCAGGGCAGTTGGTCTATATTCTGTAAGAGGAGCTAGTACTTTCTGGACATTTACACATTATATTTCTGGGAACGAAACCCAACATGTCAGTGGGTCCGATGCTGAGGGAAGAATCTCCAGAAACCCAATTTAGGAAAATGGCTATAGCTTGCATTTGTCTAGCACTTTACATTTTACAAAGTTCCTCCACATATTTTATCTCATTTGCTCTTCATAATCATGTCTGGGCTTGGGTATGATTATCGGGAAAAGGAGAGGTTAAGTGGTTTGCCTAAGGTCACACTGCTAATAAGTTGCAGAGCCAACTGGAAATTAAATCCAGCCTTGACTCCCAATCTGGTGCTCTTTCCATCCGCACAGCAGACTCATGTGTCTTCTAACCCTTGCATCTAGGCGCTTCACAGAGTGGGCGAGTTCACCCTCCGACGCCAGGAATCCTGAACCCTAGCTCTTTCTCTACTGAGGACCCAACCCACCGCCCCTGCTCCCCGCCACCACATCTCCAATCATTTCCTCCTTGTCCTCATTCCTCTCAAACTCTCTTTTATCATTTGCATTTTGAAACTGTTTCCTTAATTATTCTCCTGCTGTTGGAAACCTGCTCTCCCCCCGTCTCTGTGGCATCCTTTGATTTATCTCTGTCTGGATAACAGCTCCCCGATTCTCCTTGGGGAATTCAATTTTCATTCATTTTTCTGCTGGGCTAGATTGATAGAGACCCTCTGCCCTGGTCCATATTATTCATCTCAGCAGAGAAAACCAGGGAGACCAACCCTCAGCCCGGCCCCTGGGGAGCCACTGTCTTGTCCAGGGAGCCACAGGGAGTTCTCCAATAAAAGGACAGGGGCCTTTGCTCTTCTCCATCTGTCCACCCGGTCCTTCCAGTCATTTGTCACAGGCCCCTTTCGTGAGCCCATCACTTCGTCATTTGTCTCCTTCTCTTCCCAGAACCTTCCAGGGATCTCTCTCTTCTAGGATGTCG